GCTGACAAGTGGTGGACTTGTGCCTATTAATCTTCACTGTCAACTAGGCTGGTGTAAGAGACTTCACAAAAGGTGATTGGAGCATGGGATTCTGATATTCACGGGTGATGGTCAGGGCTGGATGTGTTCTTAGGAGGTAGTGCCCAGTTGGAGGAGGTAGATCATTAGCAATGTGACTTTGAAGGGTGTGTCTCACTGGTGCTCTGCTCTTGTCCTCTACTTCCAGGCTGCCAGGAAAGGAGAGGCTTTGCCTCCCCACATCCCCTGCTATGATGTTTCTGCTTGGAGCCGGCTGACCATGGACTGAGTCCTCTGAAACCTTGGGAAATAAACCATTTCTTCTTTCAAGTTGTGTAAGCCTGGCACTTTGTTCCAGCAGCAAGAAATCTGACTAATACAGCTCCATAAAAAGAAGGAATTATATTTAGCTTTTCAAACAGGGTTACACACTTATTAAAAGCTCATGTAAACTTTTGGTGATACTAGATTATGATCCCAGGGTGTCATGTATGTTAGACACGTGCTCACCACTGCGTTTACCCAAAGAGTTTTTTACATTTTTGTTTTGAAATAGGCCTTCCTTATATTGCCCAGGCTGCTCTTGAATTTGTGGTCTTCCTGCCTTGGTCTCCTGAGTGACTGGGATTATAGAATCTACAATGCCCAGCAAAAAATATTTCAAAGTGACTGAACTAGTAAAGATTTAAATTCTCCAAACTAAGGTGACAAGAAAAAGCAATAGGACCTTACTATGGCCCTTTCTCCCTGGCCACAGCTAAGTGAAAGAGAATTAAAGTTAACAGTAAGTTTCCAAAACCCCAATGGCCTGTTTCATTAAGAAGTTTTCAATTCCATGGCAAGGCTAAGCATCCTTGTTCTCAAATACATTTGCTGTTCTTGTAGTTCCTAAGGGATATCCATCATTTTTAACTCCTACTACCATCCGTGCTACTGCCCTCTCAAGAAGAAAAATTCTAATCATCCCTAGTACCTGTCAGGCTTAAAGTCCTTCAAATTTAGGATAGAGACAGAAACTGGCTCTTTCAGAGCTCCTCGTTTTGGCTGTCTGAAGAATCCCCCCCAAACCTGCATTGTTTCTACACAAGAGAAACCCTCATTTCATGAAAAGCTAAAAATAAGCAATGTAAATTGTTTATCCTTGTTTTGATGAATGCTTCCAGCAGCTCGAAGACACCTCCCTGCCTCTACCAGGTCCCTTATGTAAAGAGCTAGGCTGTATTCTTCAGAGCACCTCAGCAGCCGAGACACAAGCAGGGCTGACGCTCTGCCCAGCTCTGCAAGTCCTGGTGGGAAGGACCGGGAACTGAAGCGCTATCTCATCTCCCCAGTAAATGGTTTGGCCCTGAGGTCAGTCTCTCTCATGCCCATGTGGCCACCTAAACTCCACATGAAGCAGGCAAAAAATTATTACCATTAAGATTAGATGAACACAGAATTTAAACTATGACCTTAAACTTGCTAGGGTATTGCAGGGCAGGTAGAGATTGGTGTCCATGGGGTACTGTTCAAAGCAAGGTCCAATAGAAACATTCAGTGCATTAAAATAAGCTTTCTGCAAGAGAATGGAAAAATACATCAGTTTATGAGATGAGTGGAGAACAAAATAGGATGACTAATAAGTTCCTTTGGTACAAAGAGAGGGAATGGTTGACCTTGAGACCATGATCCAAGTTTTTAGGACCAGGACATATTTGCATGGGATACGCAGCCACCTCTGGCTTGAATTTATCTAAAGAGTGGCTTAAACAACATTTTTAAATTTAGGTACCTTATAGGTATTAGAACTCAATACTTAAACACTTAATGGGCATATTGGAGAAAGTCCTACAAAGATAGAACCTTTTTTCTCTTATGCCTGTTGTTTAGGTAAATGAAGGAGAAATTTTTGAGAAAGTCATTTTATGGCCAGACATCCTCATGAAAAAGATAGTGGTATACTTCATATTTCATTTGCTTCCGGTAATACATGAGAAAATTTTGAATCTCTTGGCAGAATGTTCTGGGCTCTTTGGCAGTTATTTGCTTACAAATTTATCTTAAGAGCACGCAGACTGTCCAAGAGCAGGGGTTTCTTTCTGATTTGTTCACCTGAAACAGTATGTGGCATAGAGCAAGCATCAACAGTTTTTCTCTTATGGTATAACTTTATAAAGACCACACCAGAACCCTAGAGTCTAGGGCTTCTCTCACTGTCTCCCTAAAGTCCGGGTAGTGTGTCTGTGTGTATGTGTGTGTGTGTGTGTGTGTGTATACACAGATATGTGTGTACATATATATCCACATATTCACCAAGTTAACTGTATTTTAGAAATAAAATTTGTGTTGTGACATTGCCTTTAAACATCTAAGACTCATAATGCTGCATATTATTTCTGTGTGTATCTACCAAATGATAAAGCTTTAGAATCTATGCCTTAATAGAATTCTGTATCTTAAATATTGTCTGTGGTTTGTGCAGGTAAAGTTGCTTGCAATGCTGTTAACTCAAAATTAATAAAATAACCTGACAGATTAACAAGAGAGCTTGTTTTGATATCATGGAAATGTTAATCAGGAATTTATATAGTGAGATAATTCTGTCCTGGGGTGTGTATTAACAGAGCTAAAATATTACCAGGCAAAACCCAAATTCACAGCCTCACTTCCTGAGCAATAGTTTCTATAGGTAATTTTTATTCACATTTTACAACAGGCCCAAGTAAATCTTATTATTAACACAAGTTCATGTCTAAAAATAACTGTTACCAAGGTAGTATATCTTTTCGGTGGACTGTAGCTTCTCCTCAGAAGGTGTGACATCTTGTCTTTCAGTTCAGGATGGGAGTGCTGGGATCCAACCCAGTGCCCACCATAGAGTGGATGCCCATAGATGGGGGGCAAGTATTTCAAAGGCAGAGTTCATTGCCCTTGAAGTAGGGGGAGATTTCATTAACAGTTGGAAAAGTCAGAAGGAAATGAAAACGAAATTTTAAAATCACTCTTTCCGGCACCTGTCCTAAGTGGCTTCAGAGATGTTCTGTGGAGTCTCCCAAGTAGTCTATCCTGAGCATTGCTCAATAGCAAGAACAGTAGGAACCTGTGCACTCTTTCCTAAGGCTCTATACAAATCCTGTAACTATGGGACCCTCCTTTGTGGAGCTTTAGCCTAATTTCCTAAAAAGGGAAAGATTATACAGAATCTCAATATTTTAGTAACAAGTTGAAGGAGAGATTTGGTTTCACAAATGAATAAATGGAGATCCAGAGGTTGAGCTGCTGGACAAGAACTCCAGAGCCACAGGCCTGCACAGAAGCCTACCTCAGGTCCAGTTGACCCAACCCTGGGATCAAGTGTTAATCTGTTCTGTTTTTTCTTCAGTCCCTGCACCATATCCACTGTCCAAAATGGCTGGGTTCTTCTTTCACTCAGAAAGTGCAAAGGAGTGGCCAAGCCTCTGGATGTGAGGCTGGATATGCGTGCATGGGGGTGGTGCAGGTTGAGGATGGAATGTGAGATTTGGTCAAAACCGCACAACTGCGTTCGGAAAGGATTCTTCAAAAGTGGTCAGTCACCCTGTGAATGGTAGAGCATAAAAACTAGCTATTTGCCTCCATATTTGGTCCCTCCACAAAATCCATCATTACTAGGAAGAGACAGATTTCAAGGACATAGAAATGCATTAGCACAAAAGCCAGAAGCAGAGCAGAGTCCTGGACAGTTAAAAGACCACACGATATCACCAGACACAGATGCGCACTCTTGAGTCCTCTGGGCTGCTATGATTTGGACACAGAATGTCCCCAAAGGCCCATGTTTTGAAGTCTGGCCCTCAGCTTGGAAAAACTGGGAGAAGGCCCCAACCTTAATAAGAGGTGGCGTCTAGTGCAAGGAAGTTAGGACACGGGGTGCTTCTCCTGCCCTCTCTGTTTCCTGGCTGCCAGGAGGTGAGCAGAGTTCTCCACCATGTACTTTTATCATGATGCCCCACCTTCCCACAGGCCAACCGATAGGGCCCATTGGTCATAGACTTCACCTTCTTACACCATGATCCAAAAGAAACCTGTCTTTTTTTTCAGTTGATTGCCTCAGATATGCTTTCTAGTAATGGAAAACTGACTGAAACATGCGCCAGTCCCATGAAGGAGCAAATGTCCCTTGATCTTTTCCAGCAGGCTCCCTTCATTCTGTCCAGTAATGAATTAAGGTGCAAAATGCTCCAGTCAACAGGACATGGGAATGTGGGGGCAGTATTGGCTGGTGGGAGATTTAATCACAGCCCACCCCATGTATGTGCATGTACACAGAAATAAGGGTAAGCAAATTTTAATGAACTAAAATTTCATATACTTTTATAAAATGCTCACAAATAAATACTATTATGGTTGTTTTTATTAATATTCAGAAAGTGTTTGAGGGTCTTTCATAGTTTTTTTAATCTATATTCTAATCTTCTAGCTTCATTGCAAAGAAGTAATGAACACCTTTCACAACAAATTAATCTAAAGTGGAGTAACCACTAGTGTGTGTGTGTGTGTGTGTGTGTGTGTGTGTGTGTGTGTGTCTGTGTGTGTATTAGGGACACACAGACTTTGGAAGTTTCACTTGAAGCAGTCCCTGATTTTAGTATGTTAGCTGTTCTACTCCCTGGCTCTACCCCTTGCCTCCTACTAGATGTTCTAGAAGAAAAGAAAATAAACCTAATGACTTAACTTTCTGTTTGTTTGAGTCTTGGACAAATGGGAATGTGTTTTCAGATTTCAGGTTTCATTAGGAATCACAATGGTCCCACTAGGAGCCTAGCTCTCTAAGCCCGTCAGTAGTTTTTCTGTGTGTGTGTGTTGGTGGGCAGAGCGTAAATATTTCCACTGTATGGCTGAGGAAACTTGGCCCTGAGATAAATATGCTTGGGTGTAGGGCACTCCAGGAAAGTTCTCAGGCCCACATGGAAGTAGAATTGAGGTCTCTACTCCCCTCTGTGCCACAGCAAAGAAGTACTCACGTCATGATGTGGGTGTCCAATCCAGCCTCCACCAGCGCCCCGTCCACGAAGAGCGGATGCAGAGTGAAACCATACTTGTCCCAGGAGCGGCCCTCATCAAAACTCACCCTGGGGTGGAAACAGGCACACAAAAGAATCGGCTGAAAATAAAGCCGCATGTTTCAGTCACTATTCTTCAGCTTATTAAATTTTCCTCAGTTGCTTTCTCTCTTGCAGTCTGGACTATCAATAGGTATTAATCTTCAACATCTCCCTGCATTATTATGAGATTGGATCAAAACTGCATTTCCTGGGCCAGGCAGAGACAGTACCAGAACTGGAGAAATAGTTCAACACACTAGAATGGAGAAAACAACCCAAGCAGGAGGGCTTAGTGGCTGGAGTGTCACGTTTCAAGTACTCAGAATGAAACCTGAGGTTCAATTTACAGCACAATCAATTCAGCCCTTGGAGTTTCTGATGCAGATAAATTGAGTAGTGTGGCCTGGACCCTATGGGAAGGGGGTTGTGTGTCTTTCAAAACAAATTTCTAAAAAAAGCGATTTCCTACTTATTCAGGATGGATGTTGGGATGATGATTTCCCCTCCCCAGTGCCACTTTAAGGGGTTTCAAGGAGTAACTATTTGAGTGGCTGAGATGTTCTGAGTAGCTCTGCTCCATCTTTGGACCAATCATAAGAGCAAGGCTTATCTTGGGTGCAGAACCCTCCCCTCTATGAGGACTTCTGGTAGTGGAGGGCTCCGACGAAATGCTGGGCACATGCTTATTCCTCTCTTGATAGTACCAAGCTGTTCTGGGTCCCCTGGCTCAACCAGGGAATGCAGCCAAAGACCATTTCCTCTGGAAGGCTGTCTTGGACACCACTTCTTCCCTAAGACAGCTTTGGCTTCTTCATCTTCTGTGCTCCTTCTTGTCCTTTCTGATCCTTCAATCTTCCCTAACTCCCCAGTTTTGGATTGAACTCCCTCTTCCATGTTGGTGTACTTACACTCCATACCTTCTATCACAGCTCGGAGCAATGACTTTTAACTGGGTTTGAAGTCCCTCTGCTCAGATTTATGCACTCTCAGAGTTCAGAAAGTGCAAATGTCTTACTCACAGAGTGACCCCTTGCCACCACAAATATATCTTTATTAGAATGTCTCTTCCTTAGACTTTGTAAAAATTGGTTTTTGTCTTGATGGACAGAAGTCAAAGTGAGCTTAAGGCCTCTCTCCTTGTCTTTCAGACTTTCCTTGACAGTTTTAGCATTATCAGCTACTGGTATTAGCAGAACAAGCTTTGCTCATGTTGCCAGCATCCCAGGGAAAGGAATCCACATCTCATTGTTGGTATTACCAGGGAACAGCACAGCCAGATCTACTTCACACAATGAGAAGAGGATACCACAGGGCATACAACAAGGGCCCATCACAGCCTTCCAGTATCAGGATAAATGCTCCAGAGTAAGGATCAGCCCTGATGGGGAGAGAAACTGCAGGAGAGCAAAAGCACACTGTCAGAAATGAGTCGGTCTGGAGGAAGCAGATTCAGGGGCCAGAGGAAAGAATGGGACAGTGGGTGGCTAAAGACTGGATGGGAAATGCTGAGGTCCAGGCAGGAAAGGTAACTTTCGGAATTCAAGTCTAAGGGTGACGTAAGTAACACACATCTCCAGATCCACAGTGAGGACTGACCCCTGGGACCCTCACCTCTTGTCAATGGACAGCTCTGCGGCCCAGGATTGTGCCACAGGGTGACTTCCTCAGATCGATAATTTATAACATTTGCCTATTTCAAAACTTCCCAAGGAAACTCCAAAAATGAAAACAAAAATCTTAATCCTGGGGCTGGGGATTTAGCTCAGCGGCAAAAAAGCGCCTGCCTAGCAAGCGCAAGGTCGTGAGTTCAGTTCCCGGTACCGGAGAAAAACCAAAAAAAAAAAAAAAAATCTTAATCCTTTTGTTATCAGAAATTTGGGTAGGGAGGGCCTGCTACTTCTGAGACTACTCTCTTTGATGATTAGAACTTTTTAAAATTTTTGGAGGTAACTACATTGAAGCGCAACCTCAGAAAACCCACATCCTCCTCCTCCTCCTCAGATCAATAGCTCATTAATGACCAAGACTAAGGAACTAGGAATTCTTTATTATGTCAATAGGTGAAACTGAAATTAGCAGAATTATCAATACTCAGGGAGACAGGAGTAAACTTTTCATTGACCTCAAATCATGGTAAAACAGAACTACAGAATCAAAGAAAGTAAACTTCATTTATCAATAGCTATGTGGCTCTATGTGCCAGAGGCAGCAGTGGCTCCACTTGTAGGGACAGAGAGATACACGGAAGGATAGCGTCTCACTGCTATAGAATTTACATTCCAGTCTAAGAACACAAATGGCATACAAATAAATTGATAGAAAAATAAGAATTAGAAATAAGAGCCATGAAAATTAAACTGATTTGCTAATGATCACATGACTACTTCATAGTGACGGCTTAAGAAAGTCCCGCCTAAAATGTGACATTTGAATTCATAATAAAAACTGCATAGGCAAGGGTCTAGAGGACATGAAATGAAGCTGCTGTACAGCAAGGACACAAAGATGGTCAGTGGTGTAGTTTCAGAAATGAAATTAGCAGAAGAACATGGGATTGGAACAGAAGGCAAAAACCAGATCATAAAGGACTCTGTTTGCAGTTTAAATGGGAAAGAAATGAATCGATTCAAACTTTAACAGACATCTTTTACTTCTCTACGGTGAACAGACTGCCAGGATCCACAGTTCATGAAAAGAGATGGGTTGGGGATAGAGGGAGGTGTTGGTAATTATAAGAGACTAAGTAAGAAATGGGGCTTGGGTGAAGGTTATAGTAGTGGGGGAACAAAGAGATGGAGAGATATAATATATTTTCAAAAGTGAAGTCAGATTCAGTGATGAAATATATACAAGTTGCATAAACAAGGGAAACAAGTTATGGAAAATACTGATGGGGGTTTAAGCAATTCAGAAAGGGAAATGGGAAATGCAAGAGAAGCAAAGCTTTTTGTTTATCTATTTGTTTCTGTTTTGGTTTATGTTGAGATCTAAATGCTCTTGGATTTCCATATTATAACACTGCTATGGAGACTTTTGAATGGCTGGATCCACATTTGTGATTATAACTAACAGAATAGACTTGGGAGTTATTGATAAGGTACTTCCAATCTAAAGAAGAATGCTTAATAGAAAAGAAAATATCTGCAGATGAAAAAGGACAGGTCAACTAATGAAATTATAAGTTTAAGCCAAAAGATAACCGGCATTGTTGTCAATCACAAGTCAATGTCATGACAGCTAATCAAGTCCACAGGTCTATGATATTGAAATAGGAAAAACCAAAAGGAACAGAATGTTCCAAGAACAACCAGAGTCCTTCTCAAAAGTCTCTAGCTTGGAAGCAGAATGCGAGGCGAACCAACATCCCTTCCTTTGGTGAGGTGTATTGTTCCTTTTCATCATAATACACATCCAGGTACCAGGATTTCAGCCGCCTGGAAGTTCTACAGAGCAGCACACACTCTCCCTTCTCAGAAGCACGCATCAGTTGAAAGTACTGTTTTTGCAGGAATGTTTCTCAGGAACAAGACAAAATGCTAGGGTCTATACCAGTCACAGAGGAACAAAAGAGCACAAAATGCCAGGTGATGTTTTCCTTTGTTTCCAGGAACATCCACTGAAAGGAGACACTGGCGGTTTGTCAGGGCTGAGCATAATCACACCCCTGTCTACCCGTGGATGAGTCACTGTGTCTATTATGAGTTTTCACTGGAGCACGGCATTTGGTGGGGACCTATTGTGCAGTCGTCTCTAATGCCTCTAAGGTTCAAAGGTAATAGTGGCTGAGAAGTTTACCTGCAATAACTCTTAGGTTTTAATTTCTGTGCAGCCACATGTACTGGTCACAAATGGATGGGGTCATTTGTATCCTGTTTTGACTTCATGCCCATCAAACCACCTATCATTTCAATTTGTAGGAAACAGCATGGCTTTGTTAGCCTAGCTAAAGCTTTCCCAGCTTTTCAATTATGACTCTTGTTTTCTCTGAAATGCAATGTAGCTATTATTTAAATCTGAGAGCCGCTATACCCTTGTGTGAGAATGGGTAAACTCATGTCTTTTTCCAGTGCAAATATATGTACAAAAAAGCAGTCTGAGATCCACAACAGAAAATAACACTGAACTGATTACTTAACCTTTCTTCCTTTTAAAGCAAGTTATTTGTTTACCTTGAAGATTGTGATTTAATTAGAAGCTACTAGTGATAAACAAACGGATGAGTTTCAGAGACTTGCATCTCATAAGCAGGAGAGAAGATCAGTGAACCATTCCATAAGAAAACATTGATGATAATGACATGGTTGAGTCCTTACAAAACACTCACTTAGGCTTTGAAAGAGAAGTACAAAGCACAAAAGAGAATTCCTGACTGAGCTGTTTGTTGTTGTTCTAACACGCATACTCCGTAGCTGGCATTGAACCATTTGTAGTGACTGTTCCCGGGAATGGCCTTGATGGATAGGCCAATGAATTTTAATCATTGTCTCTGTTCAGCTCTATAACTTACAACAGATGACAGTGACAATATCATCTAAATGGAAGTTATAATATCTCAAAAGCAAAGTTTGAAAACAACCTTAAATAATTTTTAAGATGGACTAAATAGTATTATCATTATTTTTATGAGAACAAATTCAGTGGGGAGTTATTTTTTCTCTGTTCTATAAATATCTTTACACTTTTACAATTAAATTACACTTTGATGGGCACATCACAATTTACGAGGTACAATGTAATATTTTGATTTGTGTCTACAATGGGTGATGAGCTCAAGGAACTTAGTGCATCCTCAAACTTGAATCATATCTTTGTGATGAGTATACTCAATTCTTGTCTTTGAGATACATGATTGTGCATTATTGTTAATCATAATTTTTAGCATGAAAAGAGATAACACATGGAAAAACAGAAAATTCATACTTGGCCTTGATGTCTTTGGGGGGCCTAATTCAATCTTACTTTCATCTCCCCAAGTGAGTATTGAAACACTATATCAACTTGGGTGCTTCCAGACAAGGAAGTGAGCAGGGCTCTGGGGAGAACCCACTGTAGGTCACACCAAGTGGCCAGATGTAAGGGTGCCGAGACTCTCTAAAGCCCAAGTGCTCTTAGTCCCTCAGCACCATGCCCCCTGCCCACTGCAGAGGAACTCTCCTCTGCACACCAAAAAAAAAAAAAAAAAAAACCCAGCAACAAACTCCACCTTTCTTCAGGCCAATGAAAGTTCCATGGAGAAAGAGCTAAAAGTGAGCAGCTAAGTAAGTACCAGATCCTTACCTAAGCGAGGAGAAAGCACCTTAGTCGGACGTCAAGTGCAAAGTGAGGTTGCTACTACCAAGAAGTACTTGGTACTTCTCCCAGTACCAAGGGGAAAACATCAGTCCCTGTCTCTGTCTACAAAGTATCAATTCTCTTCTTGAGATTTAGTTGGAGGTTCCCTAGGTCATGATGAAGGCTAGGAAAAACAGTCTTTCCTGGTTAAAAAAAGAAAAAAATTGTCCCAGACTGTGTGGTGTGATTCTAGATGTCCCTCCAAAACCTCATGGGGTCATAGGTGGGGCTTTTCAGAGGTGGCTGGATCTAGGGTGTGTGAATGTGGATTAAGAGTGTGATACTAGGATACAGAGCAGAATTACGATACTGAGTGAGTCCACTGATTGGAATTAGCGTAGTTCTAGTGGCTGGATATATTTACTGGAGACAGAAGCCCTACCCTGGGTGTGGGTGGCACCACCCAAAGGATTTTAGTCTGGACAGGATAAAAGGGACAGGCAGGCCTGCAGTTTACTGCTCAGGGCCATCTGCTTGCCATGCCATCAATTGTTCTTGTGTGGGATGCCCCCTCTGCTATGCCACCCTCCCTTGGAGCTAGTTGACTATGAACTGAACCCTCTACAAATTGAGCTGAAACAGACATTCCCTCCTTTAACGTTGGGCGTCAGGCATTTTGTTTCAGCAATGAGAAAAGCAACTAAGACACAAGCTCTCTTCTCTCACAGTCCAAGTCCTGCTCAGTCCTCAGGAAACAGCACTTCTTCTTCCACTGAGACAGACAGGCTGTGATAATGGAAGAATTTGTCTGCCAGTTCAAATAGAACCCCTTAAACTGGCAGTTGAGTTCTTTGCAGTCCTACCCGCCCCTTACATATTCATATTTTGGCTTCAATCAAATAGACTTTTGAATACATTCTGCCTACATTCCCTAAATTTCAGATTTTGGTCAGTCTTTTCCTGGGTTGTTCCCCACCAGTCCTGCAACTCCTGGCATTCTTTCCTCAAGGATCAGGCCTTGGGCCATGTGCTGCAGGCAGACCATTTTCCAGTAAGATGCACATCCAGAACTGTGTAGCAGACAGTGCTTTGATTTCTAGTGATAAATGAAGGAACCATCCAAGCTTCTTACTTTTACTATGTCTCCTGAAGGGCAGGGACCTTGTCATAACGCTGTCAGTGCTCCTTACAGAATCTGCAGTTAAAGCACAGGTGCGCCTATAACAGAGATAAGCTCGGTACTGCTAGATACTTAGTGCTTAATACAGTTGTATTACCACTTCATTTTAAATGGATGATAACAAAGTTTGACAGATGTCCCCAGTTTCTCCTTAGTGTACCACTCTCTCTTACAACACTCAACCCAAAACTACGTTTGTACTTAACCCCTAGTACCTAGCAGTACTGATACAAATCTAGAGTGTCAGCGCAGACATTTCTCCTGATCTTCAGGTAAATGTATTTGATAATTTATGGTCATCTCTGATGAAATAGTCATAAAAATCACAAGTTCAACTTACCTGAACTAAACTAATGATCTGGTACATGAACGTAATTATCCCTTCGTAGTAATCTCCATCTCATAGTTTGGATTCCTAATCTTGGCTGTTTGAAGCTGCAGGCTTTCCCGGTCTCATTTGAACAGCCATTTCTAACACCCTATCCCACTCATCACACTTCCCATCTGAGTTAGATGACCTGCTATTGTTTCTTATGAACTAGGCAAAGCACAGATATTAAGTACATGGACTGATGAATACGTGGTTGAGGAAATGTATAAATGGGCAAAAAAATCATGCAGAATAACTCACCCCAGCCCTCCCCACTAAAAAGTTTCTTGTTAATAGGGTAGGGATAAGGTAGGAAGCTGTCCTTACCACAAATGCCTTACAGGCAGAGGTCTCTGTTTCATGGCTACCAGGGCGCCACCCCAGTCTAGGAACCAGACATTGTACTCTTCATCAAAGATCTGGAACAACAACAACAGTCATAGCAGCACCTTACATTTGCATCGTGCTTAACAGTTCAGTCTTTCGCTTACACTGTTTTGTCTAAAATCTCAGCCTTCCAAAACCCCTAGTAGTTTGGTAAATATTACCCCTGTGTGATAGATGATTGATGAGGAACTGGGTTCACAGAGAACACATAACTCTCCTGAAGCCACTCACATGGCATTTTCAAGGTTCATCCCTGAGTAATGTGAACCAGGGTGCTATATCCAGGTAAGGCAATAAGATGCACGTCCAACTAGGTAACTCAGGGAAAAGTATGACTTCAAAGACTCCTACCCATCTTTTCTTCTTAGAAAGTTACTCAACCTTCTCTTCCTCCTCTCTATTCAGATGCTTGCTAATTTAATAGATAGTCTATATCTCATGGGGTTGATTATAATTTACCTAGGATCTTAAGAGACAATTTCACTGGACAGTATGACCTTAGTACTTGTGCTAAGTCACTACCCCTTAGGTCCCTTTGAAAGTTGAATGAAGATTGCCAAGCCTGTAAATATCTACTCTCAGTATTCAATAGAGCACAGTTATGGTGCATACCTAGATGGCCTCTAAATGAACATGAGTTCATAGATGAGGCATTTGGTTACTGACATGGGTTGTGATATTCAGCAGTGGATTGGGCCACTGATGACTTTATAGCCAACTACGTTATTGGGAGGTGAAGTCTGGCCAGAGGAAGTGGGTCATTGTGTCACGACTTTGATGAGTCTAGCTCTCTTCCTTTTCTCTCTACTTCCCACCTCTGCCAGAACCCTCTGCCATGCCCTGCCTTGGAGACAGCCAACTATGGATTGAAATCTCTACAAACTGTGAGCCAAATAAAATTCTCCTTCCTTGAAGTGTTGGTATATTTTGTCCCAGTAAGGAAGAAAGTAATTATGACAATAACACTTTCAGAGATGTAGAATTGTTCATATTTGATTCAATTATTTGTCCAAAATATTTCTGTCCATCCACTCACCCCTTCACTCACCAGTGATCCATCCACCCTTCTGTTCATATGCATTTACTAAGTACCAACTACGATACAATGCTCCAAACTAAGAGAAGGTCAGATGTAATCCTACATATAGCAATGCTTATGCTTCATGTGACTAATAGGAAGCAGGAAAAACATTTCTTCAGTGAAAAGCTAATCTCAACTTCAGGGCTTTTAGAGGAAAGTAGGATTAAAGAATTCCTCCAGCTTTAACCACTGATGATGGCTTCTGTAGTCTAGATGAAAAAGTTGGGGTGGTGGATTAAGTGAAGAGGGTTAGGAAGGGGTGAGGGAGGTAGGCTAATTTAAAAAGGGGATGAGTAGGCAGAAGGGTCTCCATCACATAAGCCTCAGTGAACACTATGGAAAAAAAATAAAGAGCCTTGAAACTCATTATTTTCAACCTTCACATTTACCTTGTTAGGAAAGACAAGTATCTCATTAATGGGAAGTCTTAGCAGGCAAAGAATCATTCACTTAGGTTTTTCTCTGCAGAGCTTAATGTGTGGCTCTATGATAAGCCATTTAATGGGGCATAGGAAAGGAGCCTGAGAATGAGGAATGTAGGAAGATCCTTGTCACCTGGAGAGATGGAGAACCTATCCTCACATTTTCCTCCTGAGGCTGTTCATCTGACCACTGATAACTCTTACCTTGTCCACTACTGCAGTGAAAATTGGAAGCCTTGGCTAGTTGAGAAAAGTGAAAAGAAAATCAAAGTAGTGGTGGCCAAGGAAATGATGGTACAGTGGTCACCTGGCCGGGGGAGCTATTTCTTGAGGTGGAGAGACACTGGCTTGCCTATTGGTAATTCTGTACCAGATGAATTTGCATGCCAGCAAATAAGGTACAATCTTATTTATGTGCCTGCTCCCTGTCCACCTGATTATGACCTTGTCAGCAGGACACTTGACTTACTCATCACTGTATGCCATGTAATACTTAAAACAGCTTCTTATTAGATGCTGGATAAGTTTTAAAATCATGGTAGTGGTGATAGCTGTGGCCACGGGGATGACAGTGACACTGGTGATGAAGACAGCTGCCCTCTCTAAAGCATTCAGACAGGACCTTGTCCAACCAGATTACACATGGAAATGTGACCTCTACCTCAAAACATTCAGTAGTGTTCCCTTGTTTTCTCACCTTTAAGAATTACCAAAACCCCGCCTCTTCTTGTGTAGTCTTTCCCAGTTCCACCAGTAGAATCAACTCTTTCCTTTCACGCCCATACTAATAATGCACGAAAATAATGCACTGTCCCTGAACTACTGTTATTTGCAAGCCCGTTTCCTCTATTTAATTCTAAGCTCCTTGAAAAGGAACTCCAGCACCGGAGGTTTTTGCCTGATACTTAGCGGACACTGGATAAATAGATGTTGTCTGATATAGTAGCCACATGCAATGATTTAAATTTAAATTAATTGAAACAAATGAAAAGTTCAGTTCCTCAGTCACACTAGTCATATATCACATGGTTGGCGGTTTCTGCAACAGCATAGATACAGAGCATCTCCATCATCACCGAGAGCTCTATTGGATGTCATTGCTGTTTGTAAAACTGAATTAATTCTCAATGTAGTCACGCATCTGTTAAGCTGTCTTTTATCTAAAGCTGGGTCTACATAATACCTAACCATCAACTTCCATGGGTTGCCTGTTTTAATAGTCTAATCCATTCACTTTTCAGAAAAAGAAACAGATTCAGAAAGGTGAGGAGGCCTGCTTCCCAAGCTCCCTTGGCACATTAATGACAGACAATGCATCCCAGCAACCAGAACGGAATTTAGCATCCAGTGGCTCTTACACGTGTAGCTGAGGGAAGAAATGAACCAGCTGGGAAAATTCCAGTTCTTCCTGCTCTCTGTTTTGCTCTTCCCATCTTGCCCCATTCCCCTTCTAAACTTCCAGACAGATGAATCAAACTGAGTAACTGCTTCAAATTTTTGGCAACTACAAAGGCACAGTGAGCCTCAGAATCCACAGGGAGAGGAGGGATTGGCAGAATTGACTCTAATTGCTGCTGCTTCTTCCCTTTCTAGAATCATCCCAGTTACCTGTCTCCATGTGTTTCCACCATCAGAGGAGATGAACACACCAAAATCAGTATCGGAGAGCTCCGGACCAATGTTGCCTACAACATAATCAGATCATTTGAAATTGTCAGGCAGTTTACAGATTCCGTCTGCTCAGGTTTGGAAAGAGGGTATCAAAGATAGAGATGTTGGGAGCTATGCTGACAGTTGATTTCTGCACTTTTTTTTTCTTAGTATCATATCAAAAGCCCAGCAGGAAGTAAAACCCAACATGGGAAGACAAGTAAATAGTATGATAGGAAGGTATCTTTAAATGATAAAACTCAGTGAGTGAATATTGACTAGGATGAGATTCCTGAATTATTCATTCTGTATACACATATTACTGTAAACGTCTTCTGACATGCATCATATGTAAATTTTCCTCTGACAGATGTCCTAGGAAAATGGGAACAAGTGAGGGAGTAGATATATATGGAGAAGGTATACTCTTCAGGTATCACTTTAGCCCCCCAAAACTGAGGCGTAAATGTGTGTAGATGTGTATGTCTACATGTATGTGCATTTACGTATGTTCTCAATGTGACAGAATATCTCTTGAGCACCAGCAGTTGAGTACCCAGTGGTAAAGAATGTGCCACCTAAACTACAGATTGAGCAAAATAACATGACCACATTCCATACCAAGGCCATCAAGCATTGGAGAAGAAAGTACCTAGGTTACACCTGGACCGATCACATCTACTACTTCCAGCCCTGGATGTTCTCTTTTCTCTGCTCTTCTCTTTCACACTTGTACTGCATCACCTTATAATAATCGTCACTAAAAAGAAATTTGTCAAGATTTTCTACTCTGGTGACAGTGCCTTAAGTTTCCTCAATGGACAATCCCAGTCTCAGAGCCCAGAACAATGTACCAAACATGGTAGACAACCCCTAACATGTAACTATGGGATGAATGTGTGAGGAAATAAAGGATTGAATGATGCTCTCCAACGCTGATGTGCCCTTCGGGATATATTAAAATCCAGGAAGGTGCCCTAAACATGTAAGAGTTTTACATATTGGTTAATATTTTTTCTTTAAAAAATAGCAGTGAGGGAATGTTAGCTCCCACACATCTGTAGCCTAAATAAGAGCACAATAAAAATGCAATAATGAAAATGTTAATTGAGTGCCTGACATTTAATGCTTCAAAATGAGAAATTAAAGCCAGGCTACAGCCTGTCAAGCTCCCGTCAGCATCAGGCAGCACGCAGCTAGCCAACTTGTTTTGACACTCGGGCTTCCAAAAATAACCCCAGGGTGCGGGGCGCAGGCAGGGGGTGTGAGAGGAGCAAGAAGAGGCTTGCAGAGCAGCTCTTTGGAGATCTGCCTAGAATTTGGAGTTCAACACTTCAGACACAGGTGTCCTAAGACAGATGTAAAGAGGGATGGAGCAGAGAATGTCAGCTCAGTCTCGTGGTGGTGGCTGCCTGGAAGCATTATGCTAAGGTGGATTTGGAAGCCATATGTGGTCTCAACACTGTGGCGTGCAGTGGCCCATTTGTAATATGAACCAAGCGTCGTGGGGGAGGGCAGCGTGCCAAGTGCACAGTCACCCTGGAGTTATGCATTTGCCATTTCCGGCTCGGCTCCTTTGTGGCTATTCTGCCCTAGGTTGGTCTTGCCAATATTTTCAGCCTCTCTTTCAAAGCTTGACTACGCTGGTTTAGATGACTTGCTGTGGTAAGAACCCCGGGCTCACAGTCAACTCTGCGTTTTCAAATCTCTTCCATCTTTTGAAGAGCACCCTGAGAGCTATCCTACTGGTCCAGATCCCACTGAGACTAGGAAATTGGTTCCCAGATGAAGGGACAGGAAAGTGCACCCAGGATGATGTGATCTTTGAACAAGTTCAGTCCCTAAATGGACCGGTGGGCAATCATAGGAACAGCTTCAGTGACAGTGCAGAGGAGGATCTCTGAATAAGGAACCTCGCTGATAAAGTGAAACTACAGAGGTCAGCCAGAGTAGGGCGGAAGAGAGAGGCTTGAGTGGTACGGTAGGAGAGAGAAAAGAGCTGTGAGACACAGAACAGGGAGTATCCTAACCAAGAGAGACAGTTGTATGTAATGGAGGTGCCACTGCCCTCTGGGCCAGCTTTAAACAATTTGCTTTTGCCCCATTTCTTCCTACCACCACCAGCAGCCTTCTGTGTTCCTCACACACTTGTGGAAAAGAGAAAGAGAACAGTGAACATCTTTGTGGGTTAGAGAGGCTGTTCTTGTCACAATGATGCCAGAAGGAGAAGCTGCCTGTGCAGGGGTGAAGGGCTCACGACGAAAGGACAGACGGGGTGCAGTCAGCCACGTGGGAGACCATCCAGGAAGGCGTGACAAGGTGTGGACATTAGGGGCTGAGGAAACAGGGCAGGGGCAGGTTAGCTGTGGAGCTGGCATGTGAGGGGGCTTGAGGGACAATTGTGGCTGAACTGTTATGGGACGGAGCACTCTGCTGGTGTGAGGAGAGTGGGCTTGGGCATGACGCCTGTTCCCACTCATGCTTCATCTCTCTGAAAATTAAAGAGGCCTGAGGTTGCTGTTGCTATATCACAGTGTCACTGCACAGTCAGAGCACAGAGAGTGCTTTGCACATGGTAGCACTGTGAGTATGTGACATCCTTACTACAAGCTGGAAGCCAGTGTTTGGGATATGAAGGATCCCAGTGACTCTACCTGCTAAAAGCAATTGTCAAACTCTCCAGGTGAGAATTCAGACTTCCTGTGAGGTGTCCTCAACAGGAACTGGAAAGGAATCCCAGGGCACACATTCATCCTGAGGCCACTTCTGAAGGAGAGATGGGAAGAGAGCTTAAGGAAGGAGAGAGGAAGGGAGAGAGCTTAAGGCCCCCAGGGCAGGTCGGGCACAGGTGTAGAAAGGTCCCCAGAGAGACTGCCTGCCGGCCAGCCAAGGCACACTTTGATGACTTCATAATCATTTTCCCAGTGGCAGATCAACTCCAGGGAGACCAGACACACAGGAAAAGGAAAAGCTGAGTATGAAGAGGCATCAGGATCTCATCAGCTATGTTTTATCTGCCCAATGACAGGGGCCTGGTAAGGAGCCTCAGGAGTTGCATGGGGGGGATTACTCAATTCTGATACAGGTGGATAAAAAAACTGAAAAAAAAACTCTGTCATGTGTGCATGTTTGTTTCATCTGTGAAAGAGTTAACACAAAACTAATCCAGCAATGTATGTAGTTCACAGGCAAAAACAACAACCACTAATCCCACCTCCGTAGACTCAGCACCACGTTCAGTCTCATGGGCACACTTCCATCTCTAAATCTTACAACACCCTCACAAGGTAGAAAACAGCCTTGTTTTACAGATGAGAAAACAAAGTCAAAAACTAAAAGAAATTCACAAACCCAGTGAGCGCAAGAGTGCAGCTTAAAAGGCAGAATGCCAGGGTTCATGAGTTTCACAATGTGTGTGTGATTTCTGGGTTCTGTTGAAGGCGACAACAAGTTATATTCTTCTAATGCAAGAAGAAGAGTTTTAACCTCTGTGGTATGAATGATGATGAGTAGCTTGTACCAAGCATTCAGTATGTCCTGAGCACTCTCTAAGCATTTGAAATTCATTACCCCATTTAGTTCTGGAATTCCATTATGTTAGTACTGTTATTCCCACTTTGCCAGTGAAAACACTGAAGTTCAGAGTGGGTAAACGACAATGAACAGTGCCTGGGTACACAGTATGCATTCAAATCATATTAACTTTTGTTACTGGTCACTCTTAACCACTGTTGCCTCTACATCACCCCTGGGCTTCCAGTAGCCCTAGAGAACAGGCAGCAGCCCCTGAGTCAGAACCAAGTCTCACTGACTGCAGGGTATAGGGACCACTCCCCAAGCCAGGAATAGAGCACAGAACCTCTCTCATATCTCATCGTCCTGGAATCCTTGGCCAGCAGTGTTAATCCTGATGGATCTCATCCATACTCACTGAAGAGGCATTGACTGAGAAGCCAGTGGGCCACATTAGCTGTCAGTCTAATCACAGTGGTTGGTCATTGGTGGTTTTTAGAAGTTCCCTCAGTCAGAGGCTTGCAGAAGGAAGCCTTTGCAAAGAGAGCAGGAATCCAAAATCCAGAGCTTTGGGTGGATGAGAGAAAAGAGAATGTGCCTCCTCAGAGAGACACTGTGAATTTATCTGCTTTCATTAGAAAAAGAGCTACCTCAGAGCTCTAACTTCTAAGATTAGAAGCTTGATTTGTGTTATGCTGGCAATGTATTCCTGAAAAGGTGTATGCAAATCAAATGCATGCTAATCAGAACACGTTCCCCAGGAGACTTGCATTTCAGCTCAGAGTTGCTTTATCTTCATTTCTGACTGATGCTCAGTGGACAAGGGCTCCAACAATGCAACCTCAAGTTTTTTTGCCCTTTCCCCGAGGCTTGCAGCCAAGTGCTTAATCATGTGTAAACAAACCTTTACATGCACCAGAGACCTCCTGATTAAAAACAACTCTGGGCAAAAGTCTTTGGTAAAGTGTCTTCAGTGTAAAGAGAAAGCTGCCCCAACTTATATTTGGAGAGCTGGGAGACCTCATCCATCATGCTTTCTTTAAGTGAGAATTTCCCATTACAAATAATCGGACCTGTTTACTTTGACAAGAACTCTGGTCTCTTGCAAAGCTCAGACAACCAGTCTATGTCCCCAGGGGTGGTGATAGTGGCAGCGGTGGTGGTAGTGGTGGTGAGGAGGAGGATGCATTAAAACAGAAGTTATGATTGTCCAGAGCTCTTTGCGTCTGAGATTCTTGTGATGGGCTTAGGGGATCCAAAACTCCTGCACATTTTCTGAGAGGAGCTCCTGTAGCTTTCAATGACCAAATAAACCCATGGTCTGAAAATAGGAGACAGACTTATTCTGGAAGACCTCAGTGAGGAAGAAGCACAGGAATGTTTTCCATACCTGTGGCCACCACAAGTCCTGGGGCTGACTCCTTGCTGGAGATCCTTCCTGAAGAATATGGGTTTTCAGAAAGCTGTAGGTGCAGGTGTAAAGAGCAGAAGGGCTGAAATGAAGAGGAAAATCATTTCATTCCAGGAAATTCCTGACCTTCATTCACCACTGTCCCACTGCAGAGGAGGCTTCCAGATGTCTAGCTTCCAGAAACATCAAGGTACTGGATAAAGAGCCACCTCCTTCTCCCTCTGTCCACCTGACAAAGCCAGTGCTTCTCTTTAGAAGTTGCCTTGAGTATCATCCATAGTCCCTTCCTGCCCTTATGCCTACCTAAAAGGGGTGATTAAAATATATGGTAAACGTTTGATTAAAAAAATTGCAGTACAAGATACATTTCTATCAGTCCTCCTCAAAACAGGCCCCCTCACTCCAAACACACTTATCCACCCTTTGTGCCCCTTTGTGAGGTAGTTCAGGAGGTCCGCCCTCATAAGTGTCTTCATGAGGTAGACCAAGAGTATAGTAAATGCTGTTGCTCAGTGCCATCCAGTGAAGAAGGAAAGCTTGTAAAAAAGTGATGGCGTGTCCACATCTACCTTATTTACTGGGTTTGGCACCACATGACTTCTGCCTCATCCCCAAAGTTACAATGACCATGAAAGGTAAGTGCTTTGAATTGACTCAAGACTTTGAGGCAGCCATGACAGTGCAAGTAAAGACACTCACCAAAGAAGACTTCCAGGGCTGGTCCAGAAAGTGTCAAGTGTGACAGGATAAGTGTGTTTGCAATGAGAGGAAGTAGGTTCAGGGGGATTAATGGCAATGTGTCTTTCATGACAATAAACTTTAAAAAAACAATTCAAACATGAACTGTACTTTGGATCACAACTCATACAATCACATGCGCAGCCATCTCATCCACATGGCCACCCCTCCCATCGAGGTCTCGGTTAGCCCAGTTTGGGGCTTGGAGGAAGCTTCTCTGGCCTCTTCCCAGACAATGACGATGACCTCCCATATCTGACCTTGGTCATCAAACCCTGCTTCCTAGAGCTCTAAGGGTCACCAGAAGGGGTACAGGGGGAAACTAAGTGAAGCAGTCCAAGTCTTCTGCCTTCTTCTTCAACTGGAATGTGTCTGCTTCTACCTATGTTATGTACTGTGTTCCTGTTTATAACTCTACTTGAAGTTTATATAAGGCAAGTAACATCTAAGTTTATGTCCCCTATTGATTTATGTATGCCATAGGGGTATTTTTAAAGTGCTTGGGGATTTATAGAGATATCCTATACAGAAAGTAAAAATAAGAGGACATGAAAGTGAAAAGATAAAATTAGGTTAAGAAAATAAGCTTAAGTCATGGCTAAGATTTGAAGGAAAAAATTATGCTATAAGGTGATTTTAGAGGTAGGCAATGGAGCCGGGGATATAGCTCAGTGGCACTGTCCCTCCTTAGCAAGCACAAGGTCCTGAGTTCGATTCTCAGGACAAAAAAAAAATACAAAACCCCCACATATTTATAGAGGTAGGCAGCCATCTGTCTCTGAACTTGTTAGTACTCAAAACAAACCAAAGGAAACAAACAAAAAAGAAACAAGCAAAGAAAGCAAACCTGTGAACGCAGTCTGAGAACTACAAAGAGGGTCAGGGCACTGTTACCCTGGTCCTCACTGTGTCTCCACTGTATAGCATAGCATCTGGGACACGACAGACAAGTGCTTGAGCTTTTAATACATGGCAAAAGGTTCTGTTTTTCTCTGGAGCAGCACTCTCACTTCTGGCGTTTGAGGACGGTTTCTGGTATAGCTCCTCATTAAGAGGGCACTGAACATCAAGAGTGTTAATGTTCATTGTTTCTCCTCCCTACCTGGAGCCTATTTTGCACCCCTCCTCCTCTGAGTTCCTATGCCAATATCTTTTATAACAAGAACCTGAGAAAGGGGATAAATTAATTGACTCTCCATGTAGACATGCCAATTTGAACTTCCTTTGGCTTCCAAGACTGAATTGGCTTACCTTAACATCTATCATGCACTCGTCAAACAGGATCATGTCAGCATCTCTTCAAGCCCTGCCTGGGACTTTTAAGTATAAGTTCCTTCTCTTACACACTTCTTTGTTTAACTGTAGCCTGAAGTACACTGTGGAAAGCCTATGCAACTCAACTGAGCCTTCCACCCACTTGATGCAGCAATCTTAGCCCTCAGACCAACACCTTGGGAGTTAGATAAAATTCTTGCTCAGTCCCAGCCAACTCTCTAGGATCTCTCAGTGGGAGAAAGCCCTTGACATCTCATCCCAGGTAACCAGTCTGCCCTGTAAGCTTCCCATGAGGTGAGTGACTGACCAGCAGGCAGTGGACTGGACTTCCTCTCAGGTCCACATCTGGAGCTTGCAGCAGGCGCCAGTCCCTGCCTTTGTTGTACGTGATGTATGTCTTCACCTGCTCATCCACCTTCTTGTTTGCCAGGAATATCCCTTTGATACCTGCTACCTAGGAAAAAAGGTGAGAGATGGAAAACCAGGTTGGGCTAAAATGCCTGTAGTCTCAGAGATGCCCCAAATGAAGTCCCAGCATTCTCTACATGGTATTTGGGATACAACATAGAAATGGAGGAGTGCGGTGAGAAATGTCATGTGCCCAGGGGTCTCTGAAAGAATTCTGTGTTCATATCTGCACCTACACTGCCTCATCATATGCACCACCCTCCTCGTACCCATGACTCTTGCCTACTTTATGTGTCTCTGTACTTTGTTCTCTAGGACCTCATCCTTAACAGCATTCCCTTTATCCACAAGTAAAGGGACTACCTCTTCTTGAGAACATGTGCTGGAGCTCAAGAGAGACTTGTAGACAGGTCTTCAAGGCATCAAAGGATGAGCCTTAATGACAGAAGTCCAAGAATCCTAACTTAGTGGTAAGAGAGATAGTTCAGGGCAGATGTTCCACCTTGCGGGCCTGTTCTCTATCTCTGTCCATGACATTGTCTCATTGTGTGATTTTGGATAACTCCCAGAACTTTGGTTCTCAACCAATGACCACTTTAAAATTGGTGGGAGAAGCCCTGTTTTTCTTCTTTTCCCCAGTCAGTTGGCAAAGGGTCTATGAGATAACATAAAGAAGTCTTGCCAAAGTTCCTGATGTATGGGATTTTGCCTGCCCTTGATATTGTAAGTAAAAGAGCATTGCTGCTAAACAAGTAGCTGGAGGATTTAAGCAGCTTTATTGCCTAGAAGGGTTCTAGACTAAGTACAAATTCAACTGAATCTTTTATTGCACATTCTGGGAAAGGAAAACAGAAACTTCGAATGACAGTGTTCTGCACCACAGAAAGGTGCTTGTGAGTTTCCATGGAAATTTCAGCAGGTTCCAAAGGTAAAAGGCAACTGAGATACACAAAAACAGAAGGCTGAATGGTAGATTACTCAATGGCACCACAATATATCAAGGATTGATTTCTATTTATTTCCCATTCTTCCATGTTCATGGTTTACTGGGGTTCATTGCTGTTCTGAAAGAGTACCACAGGGAGGAAAGGTAAAGAATTCCACAGATTGTAGGGTTGTTATTGCTGTTGTTTATTCCACATGGGAAACTTCAGTTCTTTGTTTTGTTTCTGTGGTAGTAACCTGACTAGCCTTGAAAGACACTGTCTCTACAATCAAAATAAACAAAACAACCAACCAAAAACTCCAGGTGAATGGACAATATCAGGAGGAGAATGGAATTATCAGGGAAGGATACACAGGGGAATCTGACAAAGGCCAACAACTGCTTGGATTTCTCCCTGGACAGAGGTGGGCAGGGGAGATGCCAAGGGAAAGGGCAGCGTTGGTCCCAGTTATGCCGCTCACCGTCTCCACCCTCCCATTCTCACAGCTCACTGTCGGAACCATTTCAGGACCGCTGATGTCTCCATGTGCACATCTAGGGCTCAGAAGCCCCCGCATAGGCTCTTCCCTTAAAATAATCTGCAAAGGTGTGGAGGTGTAGGTGAAGCCAAGCTGCCAGTCGTTCCTCAACAGCAATGGAATCTGAGTTCTAGAATCTTCTGCCAGATGGAAGACTTTTTCGGTGTTCTCTTTGGCAATCACCAGAAAAGGCTTCTAAATCAGCCCTCCTCCTGACCCCACATGCCCCAACACATACCCAAGGCCTCACTCTGCGCCCTCCAGAAGAAAACGTGCAAGTCGTACTAATACTCCTGGACCCACTCACTGTTCCCATGAGGTTCCCGTCTCTCCCTACCCCTACTTTCTTGCTGGGTAATAAGAGCAGGAAGGTGTGTTTTCAGATAAGCACATTTATCGTGTTTTCTCCCTGAAAGCTCCACCACTCAGATGGGCATTCTCTGTGTCCTGCAGGAAAATTCTCCAGGAAAAATCAGGAGAATGGGGCCTGAAAAGATACAAGTAAGAGAGATTTTGTTGGAGTCCCATGCAGTCCCAGAGGCATTTCCAGGCCATTGTACCTAATGCTACAGTGATCTCCCTCCTGTCTGAGAGGACTAGGACTCTTCCCATTTGCATTTGGACTGTTCAAGCCCTTACTTTATTGCTCAGTTCTTCCTGGGCTCCATGCTCTGCATAAACAGACTCTAAATTTAGAGGGCACTTTTCTTTTTGTGTATCACAGGTCAGCACCTTTCACTTTTTGACTGCAACTCAAGGCAGAAATACCAGTATGTTGTAATATAATACTTAAACAATATACACATGTATGTACACACATGTATGCATACATATATTCCTAAGACAAAGGCGTCATGGAGACAACTTGACCTCACTGCACAGAATGTGAAGAAGCTAGAGAAAAGACCGGTGTTCTCACTTGGCTTCACCCAAGGAGGTACTCAGCATCTAATAACTTTAAACATAATCTCTTCCCTTCTCTGAAATTAGAAGTGAGGCTGAGCCTATGGCCGCAGCAGTCCCGGAAGAAGGTTGCCCGCTTGCGAACTAAAACAGGGTACAAGGTGTCAAACCTGCATGGCCCACTTTCCCTCTGGGGACCAATTTGAGGTGTACAGGGAAATGGACAGCAGGCCCCTTGGCAAAGAACTGTGTCCAGGTGGCATACTCATCTGCTGGTCATGTCCCTGGCACCTCAGGACAAAGAAGCTGTAGCTCTGCTGAGAAAGCAATTACCATGATCTGCCCTGGGCCATTCCTGGAGTTGGACCTAGGGTGAGGGCCTGCAAAGGTCAGTTCAGGGGAAAGGCCCTGTGGGGCTGACAAGCAGCTGTCCACCTGGCCGCAAAGGGTCACTGAAAGTCAAGATAAAGCTGAAGGTGGAAGGCAGGCACTAGAGACAGGAAAGGACAGACAACTGTACTAAGATCGGTAATCACCAGAAAGATCGGTAGATCGGTAGAAATCAGAACAGAGTCTGGCGTGGAAACCTGCATTTTGCCCTCCTGAGAGAGCAGCATCAACACAATTAGTCACTAGGGAAATGCACACTAGATCCACAGTGAAACATTCCTAGGTCGTTATCAGAATGGCTAAGCACACACCCAACACACACAGACACACAAATTCACAATAAAAATGATAATCTTAAGTATTGGTGAGGATGGGAAGCAATTTAACTCTCATCACCAGCTTGCAGGGATGCAAAATGGCACTGCTGATTTAGCAACTGATGGCTTCTTATAAATATATACTCATATTTGGTCCAATAATCTCACTTCCAGATATTTACATGAGAAATAAAATCTTACATTCCCGGGGACGTTTATGGAAGTTGTATTCATAATCACACAAAGTTGGAAACAACCAGGTCTTCGAGTGGTAAGTAACAAACTGAAGCACATCACACAATGGAATATGACTAGGCAATGAGAAGGAGTAGCCATGGATATGCTCAACAGCTTGGATGAACCTCACACTTCTACTTTTAATAGAATGAAAGCCAGACCAAAAGGTTACCTACTAGATAATTCTATTCCTAGATACTCAAGAAAAGGAAAAATTGTGGCTGCCAATGTATGTTTGTCAGTGGCCACGGGTGGGATATGGACTGACTGAAAAGGGGTATAAGACGGAATATTCAGGGGATGAAACAGTGCCGTGTCTTGATTATGCTGGTAGTCACACAATGTTACACACCTACCAACACCCACGGAAGACTGCACACTAAAAACGGTAAGCTTTACTGCATGCAAATCGTATCTCAGTTTCTAAACTGTGAAAAAATCAAGTCAAGATGGTGGGCTAGAAGGTGGCAGCAATTCACAGACCTTCCACGACCTGGAATCAAGTAGAAGGAAAATAGCTCTTCAGAGAGGAAAATGAGATGAATAGCTCCAGGAATCAATTAAGAGGCAACAGGAGAATTAAAAGTCACGGAAAAACAGAAGCACAACACAAAGAAAAGAAGGAACCAGTCCACAGCCCCAACCTGCTCCCAGTGGGTGAGGGGGCGCTGGGCTCTGCAAACACAAGGTGAGCACGGAGATGCCACCACCCCAGTGCCAAGGTGATTCCGTTCATCAATACTCTCAAAAAGGAAAAAGTGTGGGCTCCAATGGGTGATTGTCAGGCGCCATGGGTGGAATGCGGATTGCTGGCAGCAGTAGCCTCAGGACAACTGACAGCTGCATGCTGTCAGTGATATGGGGCTTTACTCTGAAAGTGGGTCCTCTCACATGGGAGGTGAGCAGGATGGAAGAACTCTGCAACAGCACATGTCTTATCTCCATAGCTCCATAATCAGGAACCATTTTGAAAGGGAATTACTGTTTGAGACGGGTACTCCAGGGGTCAGAAGTCACAGAACAACCACACTTCAAGGCCCCCAGAGACCCTCTGCCGAAGTGATTCATTGGGTCACCGCCACAAAACCAGCGTGGAGATAGGGCACTAAGTGCAGGTGTCTTGAGTTGAAGCAGCAGGGAGCTCAGGTGCAGAGGGCACATTAGCCAGCTGCACTGCACTCCGTGGTGAGGAGCCAGGTGTGCCATGTGTGGTGTTGTGAGAACTCTGGGTCTGAAAGTCCCGGGACTGAGCCCCACAGATTGCTCTATCCCCCTTGTTGCCCTCTTCCTGCAAAGAAATCCGTAGTCTGTTAGTTCACCCCACCTACCAGTGTTGGGGGATGTGCCTCTGCTTGGCCACTTTCTACACCTTCGGGGCACACAGACAGGGTGCCTCTGGAGGAGCTAGGGCATCTACTCAGCCCATAGGCCTTAAGGAGAGTTGGGGTCACAGTGGCTTGGGGCACACAAGCAGACACAAACCCTAAAAAGCCTTGGGAGTGAATACAGCCCTTAGGCAGACAACACACCACTGACAGTACTCCAGCTCAAGAGAAAAGGCAGTTCAGGGCTCAGCGCTCCTGCAACAACCCACTAAGTAGGAGGAGAAACACAGCACCCACTGGCGCCTCACCCCTCCTCCCCTCCAGGCAGAGTTCAAAAGCTGCGAGACCTACAGAGAAACTTTCCTCATCCAAGCACTTCCACGAGGAGGGTTCCATTTTCTGACCCATTTTTCTTTTTCTTTTCTTTTTATATCCTATTTTATTCTTTTTTTTTTTTTTGCATTTTCTCTTTTTCTCTTTTTGTTTTGCTCATTTTTTTGCTGTTACTTCATTTTATTTGCTTTCTAATTCTTTAATTGAATTTTTATCATATTTTCTCCTCCCTCTTCCTTTTCCCTCTTTTAATTCTACTTTTCTTCCTTCTGTTATTTCTCTGCTCCCTCTATCATTTTTGTGTTTACTTTTAACTTATGTAGCCTTTTAGTTTATACTATTATCGCTGCTTTCTTTTCTGTTGTTAATAGAGGTAGAATTGCTTTTCATTGCTTCTCACTGTATGTCAGCATCAGATTTCACTTTGTGTTGTCTTGGTCTCTGCAGGCATTTTCCTATTCTCTGAGCAGTTCTGGGGACGGAGCCCACAAAAGAAGGCTGAGCACTAAAAGGACTGTCACATGAAAGCAGAAGGCACATCCACTGATACAGATGTGCACATCCCAGCACATAGATGAAAGTATGAGAAAATAAGGGAACATGACTTCTCCTAAAGTCCTTGCCACACCAGTGACTTAACACAAAGACACAAAAATGCATAAAGCCTGGACAAATAATTCAAAATACTGTCTTTTTAAAAGATTAATGACTTCAAAGAGGATACAACTAAACAACTGAATGAATTAAGGAAAATAGTGCAGTAATGAAGAAATAATTCAACAGAAATGGAGATTGTGAAAGAGAACCAAACAGAAATACTGAGAATAAAAGGCATAGTATGCTTAACAAAAACTTCAGGGGAAAGCCTCACTAGTAGATTGGATTAGTCAGAAGACAGAATTTGAGGCTTAAAGGTATACTTAGTGAATTAGAACACTCAGGCACTAATAAGGATAAAAGATAAGAAATTATGAACAAAATATTCAAGAATTTTGGGACATGATGAAAAGACTAAATTTACAAAAATTTGCTGTAGAAAAGGCTATGAAGTTCAGACTAAAAGAACAGAAAGTCCATTAAATTAAATAATAACAGATATCTTCCCAAATCTTGGGCAAGTTATGGACATCCATTTATAGGAGGCATTTAGAATTCCAAATAGCCATGACCAGAGAAGAACATTTCCATATAACATTAAAGTTAAAATGTCAAATTTACAGAACAAGGAAATAATATTGAAAGCTGCAGAAAGGGATCATTAAGTCATATATAGAGGGAAACACAATAGAATAATTGTTGATTTGTCCACAAAATCGCTAAAGGCAAGGAAGGCATGAAACAATGTATTTCAAGCTCTCAAAGGAAATAACTGCCAATGTGAATTATACCGAACCAAGCCAGCCTTCAGAATCAGAGGAGAAACAAAATACATCTAAGATAAGCTATATCAAAGAAATTCATGACCACTAAACTAGCATTGCAGAAAATGATTAAAAGAATCTTATACACAGAAGACGAAGAGTAGAATATTGAGAATTAGGAGTCAAACATTAGAAAAAAGTAATTAGTACATGCATTTCTATCACAATTCTGAGCATAGTCTTAATTCTCCAATTAAAAGAAACAGACAGGCAGCCTGGATTAAACCAGAACCAGTACTTTGGTGTCTGTAAAAAAGACACCTCACTAGCAAAGTTATACACAGACTAAAAGTGAAAAGGAGAAAAGCAAGATTCCATGCAAATAGAATTGAAAAGGAAGCAGGAGTAGCTATATTCTTATCCAGCAAAACAGATTTCAAGACAAACATCAGTCAAAACAAAGAAGGCCACTGCACATTAGTAAGGGGAACAAGCCATCAAGAAGAAATAATTATAACAGCGCACTCAATTCTGTAAAATAAATACTGTGCAACATAAAGAAATTCATAAGTCCCAGACAATAATAATGAGTTCAATATACTGCACTTCCGTCAATAGATAAATCATCCAAACAAACCAAAAAATCCACAAAGAAATATGAGTTTACTTATGCCATAGCTAAACTGAACTAAGCAGATGTCAACAAAACATTCCGTCCAACAACTATAAAATACATATTTTTTTCAGCAGATCATTGAATCTTCTCTAAAGAAGACCATATTTTAGGTCATAAAGCAAGTTTTAACAACTACTAAAAAAACTGAAATACTTTCATGTATCTTATGAGATTATTATAAAATGAAACTAGAAAACAGAAAAAGAAAGTATAGAATCTATACAAACCCAGGGAAATTGAAGGATTCACTTTTGAATGATTAGTGGGTCACTGAAGAAATCAGAAAAGAAATGTAAAACTTCCTAGAAATGAATGATCATGGAAACACAACATACCAAAATCTCTGGGGTGCAACAAATGCAGTTCTAAGAGGAAATTTATATCTATGAGTATCTATATCAGAAAATCAAGGAGATCTCAAATAAATCATACATTTCAAGGTATTACAAAAAAAATAAGAACAAACCAAAACTATACCCACAGAGAAGGAAAGAAATAATAAGTATCACAGCTTAAATTAATGCAGTAAGGACAAAAGAAGATACAGAAGACCAATGAAACAGAGTTGGTTCATTGAAAAGATAAACAAGAATGATAAATCCTTACCCAAACTAACCAAAAGTAAAAGAGAGAAAATACTCAGAAAAATACACTTAGACATGAAAAGGAAATGTTAAAGCAAGCACCATTAAAATCCAGATGATCATTAAAAGAATATTTTAAAAATCTATATATAATACATTGGAGAATCTAGAAGAAATAAATAAATTTCTAGATACATATGACTTATTACGTTGATCCAAGAGAATATAAATAACCTAAAAGGATCCTTAGCAAGCAAAAAGATTGAAACAGTAATAAAATTCTCCCAACAAAGAAAAACTCAAGCCCACATGGACTCACAGCTGAATTTTGCCAGACTTTTAAAGAACTAACACCAATGTTCTTCCATCTATTTCATGAAACAGGAAGGAAGGCTTCCAACTTCATGTTATGAGGTCAGCATTATCTTATGCTGAAACTGAACAAGGGTATAACAGGAAAAGAAAACTATAAACCAATAGGCTTGATGAATATGGATGGCAAAATTCTCAATGCAGTACTTGCAAACCAAACTAAACACAACACTGGAAGATGACAAAGTTAGTTATATTTCAAGAATGCAAGGATGGTTCAACATCTGCAAATCAATAAATATAATACACCATAAAGATAGAATCAAGTATAAATATCATATGATCATCTCAATGGATGTTGAGGAGAAACCTTTGACAAAATTCAACATTTACTTAAGCTAAAATTACCTAAAAAAAATATGTATTGAGGGATCATACCTCAATATAGTAAAGGCTATACATGAAAAACCCATATCAAACATCATTCGGAATGAGGAAAAGTTAAAAGTGTTTACTCTAAAATAAGAAATAAGGCCAGATATCCACTCTTACAGCTCATACTCAATTTAGAATATTATGGTTTGTGTCTAGATGTCCTTCCAAAGCCTTGTGATCATACAGGATTTTTTGGAGGTGGCTGAATCTAAAGTGTGTGGTCGGTGCACAGTACAATGCTGAGATTGCATCCAAAGCACCTTTGCTGGGATTAATGGGGTGTGATTGCTGGATCAGTCCACTGATTGGATTGGCACTACTCTAATCTCAGTAGACTGGATACAAAAAGAGGCTTGAATCTCAATCTCGCTCTCTCTCTCTCTCTCTCTCTCTCTCTCTCTCTCTCTCTTTCTCTCTCTCTCTCTTTCTTCCCTTCCTCTCTGACACTCTGTCTCTCGTTGCCTTTGCTGTCTTCCACTGCCATGAATTATTGCCACTCTGTCTTGTTCCACCCTGCTTTGGAGCCAGACAGTTATGGACTGAAACCTCTACAACCTGTGAGCTAAATAAACCTTTACTCCTCTAACTTTTGGTGTCAGGTATTTTCTCTCAGGAAAGAGAAAAGTAACTAAAATGGAAATCATGAATTTTAAACCAGAATAATAGAGCAAGAGAAAGAATAAAAGTGATACAAATAGGAAAACAAGAAGTCAAATTATCCCGATTTGCAATTACATAATCCTATACTTAGAAGATCCAAGAGACTCCAATAAAGACATTTAGAGATGGTAAGCAAATTCAGCAATGTAGCAATATACAATATCGACATTAAAGCACCAATAGTTTTTATAAACACCAGTAATGAACTAGCTGAAAAAGAATTTATACAAACATTCATTCACAATTATCTTTAAAAATAAGATACATAAGAATTCGCCTAACCAAAGAAGTCAAAGAACTCTATAAAAAGTATAATCTGGAAAATATAACAAGCTCAAATAAACAACTTAATATTGAACCTCAAACTTCTTGAAAAAGAAGAACAAATCAAACCCAAACCTCATACAAGAGAGGTAATAAAGAACAGGAATTAATGCAATTAAGACTATGAAAACAATACAAAGAATCAATGAATTGAAGAGTTGAATCTTTGAAAGATTATCTAAAACTGATAAATCCTTAGGCAACCTTATCAAAAAGGGAAAGAAAAGACTCAAATTCATGCAAGTTGGAATGAAAAGGGTGAGATCACAATGGACCTTGTGGAATTCCAGAAGATCATCAATACTTACTTTGAGAACCTGTACTCTAATAAGATGGAAAACACAGAAGAAATGGACACATTCTTAGACACATTTGAATTTCCAAAACTCAGTCAAGAAGACATAAAAATGCTAAATAGCCTGATATTGGTCAATTAAATTGTAAATGTGATTAAAAACCTGTCAACAAAGAAAAGTGCAGGTCCTGATGGATTCACTGTTGAACTCTATAAGAAATTTAAAGAAGATACAGTGCCATTAATGCTGAAACTCTTTAATGAAATTGAAAAAGAAGCAATAATTCCAAAGACATGCCTGAAGGCAAGTATTACAGTGATACCAAAACCAGAGAATGACCCAACCAAAAAAGAAAACTACAACCCAATCTCTCTAATAAACATAGATGCAAAAATCCTTGATAACATACTGGCAAACAGAATGCAACAAATCATCAGGAAGTTCATTCACCATAATCAAGTAGGATTCATCCCAGGGATGCATAGATGGTTTAAAATATGCAAATCAATAAATGTAATACACCATAATAACAGAACCTAAGACAAAATTCACATGGTTATCTCAATAGATGCATAAAAAAGCATTTGAAAAAGTCCAACACCTATTTATGATTAAAAAAAAACTCTAGAAAACTGGAATAGATGGTCTTTATCTCAATCTGATACAAGCTATCTATGAGAAACCAACAGCCAACATCATACTAAATGGTCAAAAACTGAAAGCTTTCACTCTAAAATCAGGAACAAGACAAAGATGTCCACTATCACAATTCCTATTCAGTATAGTTCTGGAAATATTAGCCTGAGCAATTAGAAAAGAAAAAGAAATGAAAGGAATAGTGATAGGGAATGAAGAAGTTAAATTAGTATTATTTGCAAATGACATGATACTCTACATAGAACACCTCAAAAATCCACCATAAGCCTTATAGATTTAATAACCAAATTCAGTAGTGTAGTGGGATACAAAATCAAAGCTAAAAAATCAATAGTATTTCTGTACAGAAAAAACAAAC